AAGTGATCTTAAGGACACACTCTTACATTAACCTACTAAATTTAAGAAAATTAATTTCTTTGAGTATTAGATCTAAGACTTAAAATATTTATTTGTGCAACTAATAGTTACTCCCTTTGTTTAACTTTAGTGAGTCTAGGTTTTTTTTTTCTAAGAAAATATAGGGATGTAATAATTTATTGATAAATTTTCGTATTTATCTCTAAATTAATTATTACTTAACTAAGTTTTCATATTTAATATATATTATAATTATCTTTTTAAAATCTATCTATTTATATATTATATAAAATTCTACCCTATACATTAATTAGGATGTGCATTTAACCATTTAAAAATTACATAATGAATTACTTGAAAATAAAAAAAATGGATAGTGTGAATTTAACATTAACGCATAAATATGGGGGTTTCATTTTATCTTATAATGCATTAATTAGACATTAATATTGTCATCTTTATTCTAATTTTAGAAGAAAAATATAAATTTAAAAAAAATTAAAGATTGCATTAAATAGTTTTTCAATTATGTCATGTGAAAAAAATGAATGAGAGGACCTTAATAATTAATAATATTACATCGTTTAATTATTAATGATGATGTTGGAAAGACGGGTGAAGTTAAAAGGACACATTTAATTATATATTTTATTCTTAGTTAATTTCTATATCTATATCTATATATCTATTCATGTATATTGTTTTGAGACCTTTTATTTTAAATTTAATAAATTATTATTGCATACTTTATATGGTTAGATTTCCTGCATAAAATCTTTTTTCTACTGTCTTTCTCTATGCCCTTTTATCTTTCCACCAATGTATACATAAACCTTAGCTTATTTTTTCTTGCACCAGTATATCATATTCTCCTCTTCATTTCTATAATTTTTTTTTTTTTTTTGCTAACATGGTTAGTTCCATTTTTTTTTTAATTTTTATTCCTTGTTTCATATTGTAACTAAATACAATATTATATTTTTATTTTCATGTGTCTTTTTTTCTCTTTTTCCAAAATATATATACTTTTATATGAGTTATTTTTCTTATTAGTCCTTTTATTCTTTTAAAGAAATTTTTATAGAACATACAATGGTTGTTCTTTGGAAAGAATTATGTAACTTTTTTTATTTAAAGTTTATGTATTCTTTTCTTTTTAAATTATTAATGGCTTGAAATTTTTTTGTGTATATGTGTGTGTTAAGGAGAGAACTCTGCTCATAGGATCAGAGTTAATCAAACCAATAATAGTATTGATTCATACACTAAACTGAATAAGAAATGTATAAATTAAATAGAAATCAAGTTATATCTAAATATTTTGTTTCTTTGTTTTTGTGCGAGAAGATATTATGTTTCTTATTTTATTCATATTATATTTTTGTTAACTTTTTGGTCTTTTAAATATAAACTCTACCTCACATTTCTTCTAAAATCGCATATACTTTTGATATTACCATTATATATATTTGGAAATTTGCATTCAATTACACTAAAATCTTATTTAAATCACTTTCTTTTTGTAACTTTTATTTTAGCACTTATATGAACGTATCAAAATAGATTGTAATACAAGTTAATGAATAAAATATAAATGGTGAAAAATAACAAGAAATTGAAAATGAGAGAAGGGATAAGATAAAAAAAAAAAAACCATAAAACAAAATTTTGCAAGTTAAGCAATTATAGAAGAAATAGTTGGTAAAGACTTATGTAAAAAAAAAAAAGGAAAAAAGAATTGTCAAATATTTTCCCTTATTTTATAACACTCTATCTAGATCTTATATATTAAGAATAATTGTAGTTTGATTTTTTATTAAAATAATAGTTAATACTTTCGTCCCTAGAAGACATTTCAATGATTAAGAACTTGAACCTCCACATTGAAAATTTCAAGTTCAAATCCTAAGATTGGTAAGAAGGGGCTTGGGAAGGGGAAAATTATCTCTTATTATATAACTCATCATTTGAAATACCAAAGAAAATAGTTAATACTTTTTCACCTCAAGTTTAAAGAATTATGATTTGATTAAATAAGGATTAATAATAACAAAGGAAGATAAAAAAAATGAATAATAAAAGTAGAACGTAAAAATTATTTATTGGATTAACAATTAATAAAATTTACATAAAATAAAAAGAAAATAAAATTGCAAAATATTTTTTAGAAAATCCTTCTTATACCTTTAGTTCATGTTACAATATAAATAGTGAGTCAAGATTTGTCTGATAAATTTGATTTGACATTTTTTTGGGGTTTGAATTTTCTTATTATACCTTTGGGTCTCATTGCGTTCTTTGGGATTTACATTATCTTGCTATCAAAGCACAAGTTTCAAAAGTAGGTTTGCTTATCCCAGTATATTATATAAAATGTTATCCCCAAGCATTAATCATGCACTAAAATTTATTATTTTTATTTTTATTATAAAAAATCTATGTTTCTAAAAAAATAAAAGGGAATATATAGTAGTTTTACAATAAAATGTAATAAATATGCATATTAGAAATATTAGTTTTACCTAATTTTTATCTTCCCATCTTCTTTTCTTAATATTCTCAACTATTTTATTATTATTTTTTTTTTGTTATATATATAATGAATTAAACCAAAGGAAGATGAATAAATACCTAATTTTTATAAAGAATAAAATCATAAGATTATTCATCCATCATTATTTATAACACTTTTATTCATTATTTATTTTTATATTTTCAATTTTTTCACCTCATCCACTTTCATTTTTCTTTTATAAAGAAAATTTATGTATGACTTTTATTTGATTTTATTTCATATAATTTTTTTACTTTATTAAAAATATTTTTTTGAAAAAAATAATAGAATATATATATATATATATATATATTGTTTTGAATGTAGGCTTACAAATTAAAAGAATGTGATGATGAGGAGACAGGGAAAGACCCAATGGAATGGGATGATAAGGATGCAAAATAAGCCTTTTAATTAATTTATTTAAAATATGAGGAATTTGAGGGATCTTCATGAATGTTAATACCGGTCAAATAAAGTTTGATTTTTTTTTTTTCTACTTTGGCTTACATATATATGATTTATGTCTATTTTTTGTAATACATATTTTGGAATTGATATTTAATAATAATAATAATAACAATAATAATAACAATAACAATAATTAAAATTAATGCATAAATATGTACTAAAATAATTTCTAAAGCTATCCTTGCAATCCCTCTATTAAATGAGAGTAACATGCATTTTTATCTAATGATTTGATGTACATTAAATCAATATATTCATTATTACTTTTCATTACATATATATTAAACCAAGGAAGAGAAAGAGATGCGGCTTAAGAAATTAAAAACATTAATTCATAGAATAGTAAGCATACTAAACATTTAAAAAAAAATGAATACTTAAGAATACTAAGCACTTGAGGCCCAAAAAGAAAAGAAAAAAAGAAGAAGAAGAAAGAATACTAAGCATTAATTAATTCATAGACATTAAGAATAGTTAGGATTAGAGGGGACTAGTTTGATGTAAGTTATAATTTATTTGGCCATCTTACTTCATTTTAAATGAGAAAAAAAAATACAAACTGTAACCTAACTAATAAATGGAATTAAATTTGATAGTAGAAATAGATGACAGGATCATGGAAAGGAATGGTATAATTTATCATTATGGCTAATTAGTATTATTTTAAATAAATTTGAATTAATTCATATTTTATTTGTGACAATTATTTATTTAGTTGATGTTCTCCAACTAATTATTCATGAAAGAGGAAATTTTCTTGAATTTTAGAAAACATAAAAATTATGTAAAAATAATCAAGAGAAAAAAAAATTCAATGAAATATTATAAATAATTATTGGACCAAAAATAGAGAATTTTTTTAGCAAAAAAAATTAGTGTTGATAGAAGGGTGAATGAACACCATAAGAAAAGAAAATGAGTCTCTCATTAATGATTAAGAAAAAAATGAAAATTAAGATGTTTTAACATTTAAAATGTTAAAGATTTTCTAAATATAATGTTATAAGATTCAACAAAATAAAAGTTGTGCCAAAATAAAACAATGGGAAATGAAAAGGTAATACTTCGATTAACCATTAGTATATTTCATAAAATAACGAATATCAAAAGACTAAATTTTCTTCTTTTTTATCATTTCATACTAATTAATAAGGTTCAAGTGAATCAAAGATGTAAAAATAATAATAAATTAAAGATTAAACACAATGAACTAATAGTAAACTATTAGTAAAGTTTATCATCTCTCTCTATATAAGATAATGAAAACAAAACATCATAAGCAAGTATGCTACATCCTATTAA